GCGATTCTCCTGTAAGTAATCTAATGCGATGATGAAGAACTTCTTCCCCCTACGGCCCTTTTTCTCACTCCTTTCAGCTGCATAGGATGTCAAGGTGGGAGGACCAACATCTCCTCGCCTAATTGAGATCTTTCGTCACCGCAACATGGAGGTGGTGATAGGTTTGTTGACCTGGTCTGTCTTACCTCGCCTCCGACTGCATCATCTATCTGAATGCCTATTTGTCTCTCCACCCATCAGCCACGTCGCAGCGAGCACACACGACGTCCAGACCAAGTGCATCTCTCATTCTCCTCCTCCTGCACTTAGCATTGCCATTACCATCGGCGTGGTGACAGTGGAGGAGACACATCCCACCGAGATCTGCGACAGCTCTACTACAGGCATTTCCTTAATTTTGACGCCTTTCTTTTGCCAGCAAGTATTTCTATTTACCATACATCTTAGGCTTGAATTTTGGTTGTTATTTCCTCGTATATTTAGGTCATACTTTTTGTCCATTATCCTACTAAACCATTGAACTATGACAATGGGTGTCCTCATCATAACGGCTAATCATACTTCCAATTGTTTGCAAGTGTTTTTTTTCTTTCGTTCAACGAAATGGAATTGTAAAAATATCCTAAGTGTGTTAGTATGGCTTGCAACGAAGCATAGTTATGCTAGACGCAATCTGTTGTTGAAATAGAGGAATTATTTTGTTATTTCCTTCAATTCTCTCCAACGGAATAAATTTCGTCTACGCAAGAGTAAAATAGCTCTAAAATACACTGACTGTACAACTTGATCTTGGTGTTAGAACCTTCTACTTAACTTGTTTTCTAATTTCTCGCCTAATCCATAATGGTCGCAGACATGAAATGTTGGGAAGAGGGAAGGTGTACATTGAGGAAAATGAAAGAAAGCTGTTCTTGTATCTCTTGTTGCAAATGCCGTACTTCTGTGTGGTCTTCGACATTCCCCGCCCCGTGCCAAATCGTCTTTACTGCCAGTCAACTTAATTGTTTTACAAACGCCCTGATCTCATTACCTTTGCATTTTGACCGCCCTATATAAATATGCAAAACTTTTTGCAGTGCAAGCAATATATGGTTAGTCGTCTTCTATTAAAGCTAAATAGACCTAGGTGCGCTACCGGAGTAACATCTTACATGTGATAGCACAAAAGATAACTTTCTAAGTTGATGAGAAATAGCTGGATGCATGGATCGACAAGACATGCTGTTCAGCGTTGACAACACGCTGAAATAAGTGACAACGCTACACGTGCGACCGAACGATTTGAAGACGTGTCAGGTGATGCGAGGAATTGATTCACACAACCGACCGCTAGACATGCTGAACTACGCTTTCCAATGCCTATAAATTGTTGAGGGTTGGCATGAACACAAAACCATTAAGATAACTGCCATTTTACCCAAAAAGGCTGTAGAATTTGTCCTCACTTAAATTTTATGTGATACCTTTTTGCATGCCTACAGCGCATAAAAAAGAGTGATTGAATTTAGCAGACGTAGTCC